CTGGCTACCTTCACTCGGCAGGTTGGGTCGGACCTGTACACACTGACCACTGAGTCCCCTCAGGTAGCGGCGTCTGCGTCTGCGTCTGCGTCAGGTCAGCTGTCTGCCCCCTGCTCGTGTCGCTCTCTAACGCACAAGACTGTCCTCTGGCACCACCGACTTGGTCACCCGTCAGTGCAGCGCCTTCGGGGCATGCACGCCCGGTACCTTGTCTCTGGTCTTCCTCGGGTACTCCCTCCCCTCCCACCCTCCCTTGCTCCTCCCTGTCTTCCCTGTGTCGAGGGGCGGCAGCGCGCTGCCCCTCACTCCTCCTCGTTCCCCCCGACGACTGCTCCTTTGCAGACGCTCCACATGGACGTGTGGGGCCCAGCCCGCGTCCGTGGTCAGAGCCAGGAGAGGTACTTCTTGATCGTCGTTGACGACTACTCGCGCTACACCACGGTCTTCCCCTTGCGCACCAAGGGTGAAGTCCCTGATGTTCTGATCTCCTGGATCAGCAGAGCACGTCTTCAGCTGCGACAGCGTTTTCGCTCGGAGTTTCCTGTTCTGCGCTTGCACTCTGACAGAGGTGGCGAGTTCTCCTCCGACCTCTTGGCAGCCTACTGTGCCGAGCATGGCATTCGCCAGTCGTTCACGCTCCCGGCCTCTCCACAGCAGAATGGGGTTGCTGAGCGCCGCATTGGCTTGGTCATGGAGGTCGCTCGTACCTCCTTAGTCCACGCGGCTGCCCCCCACTTTCTGTGGCCGTTTGCGGTCCGGTACGCTGCGCATCAGCTCAACCTCTGGCCCCGTGTCTCCGCTCCGGAGACCTCGCCCACACTGCTGTGGACGGGGGAGGTTGGCGATGCGTCTCGCTTTCGTGTCTGGGGATCCCGAGCTTTTGTTCGCGACACGTCTGCGGACAAGCTCTCCTCCCGCACTGCTCCCTGTGTCTTTCTTGGCTTTGTCCCGGATGCGTCTGGCTGGCAGTTTTACCACCCCGCCTCGCACCGAGTCTTCCTCTCTCAGGACGTCACTTTTGACGAGTCCGTGCCCTTCTACCGCCTCTTCCCCTACCGCACTGCCCCGCTCCCTCCCCCGCCTCTCTTCCTCGCGCCAGGTGCTGCAGTGGTAGACCCCCTTCCCCCTCAGGGTGCCGCTCCCTCAGGTGTCTCTCAGGTAGACCCGGTTGAGCCTGCCGAGGTAGCTGTCGACTCGCGTCCTGCTGGAGGTGCTGAGCCTGAGCGTGCGGAGCCTGAGCGTGCGGAGCCTGAGCGGGCGGAGCCTGGGGGTGCTGAGTCTGGGGGTGCTGATCCTGGGGGTGCTGAGCCTGGGGGTGCTGGGTTTGGGGGTACTGAGCCTGGCGTTGCTGAGTCTAGGGGTACTGCGCCTGGAGTTACTGAGCCTGGGGGTGCTGAGCCTGGTGGTGTTGCAGTTGACTGTGAGGCGCCTGGAGGACCTCCCTCTTCGCAGCAGCTGCGTGAGTGGTACTCACGGTACTGCAGCCTCCGGCGGGGTGAGTCTCGGGCTCGTGGTACTGCTGGAGTTGGTACTCGTGCTTCCCCACCACGGCGGGAGCCGCCCTCTTCCCCTCAGCTTCGAGAGTGGTACGCTCGGCACATCAGTCTCCGTAGTGGAGCTGCTGGTGCTGGGGTCCCCGGAGTTGACGCTGCTGCGAGTACTACGGACCCTGGTGCTGGAGGTGCTGCTGCTGCTGGCGGTGCTGCTGGAGGTGCTGCTGCTGCTGGCGGTGCTGCTGGAGGTGCTGCTAGTACTGAGGACCCGTGCGTTGGAGCTGCTGTGGGTGCTACGGACCCTGGTGCTGGAGGTGCAGCTGCTACTGGCGGTGCTGCTGGAGGTACTGCTGCTGCTGGCGGTGCTGCTGGAGGTGCTGCTGGAGGTACTGCAGACCCTGGTGCTGGAGGTGCTGCTGCTTCTGGAGGTGCTGCTGCTGCCGCTGGTGTCTCTGCTGGTTCGAGAGCTGCTGCACGGCCACGACCGTACTTCGTTCCGCTCCTTCAGCAGGTTCTTGGTCAGCCTCCTCCTCCTTGTTCTCCTCTCGCCTTAGAGTGTCCGCCGTCTGTCCAGTCACAGCCACAGTTACCGCCTGCCTCACCACTCCCTGTGCCTGCTCCTTACACTGGTCCGACTGACGGTCTTGCTGAGAGACGTGAGCCTGCGTCACGTCCTGTGTCACCTCCGTCTCGTCGAGCGTCGCCTGTTCGAGCTGCTACCACTGGTAGTCGTGTCCCGCGTGAGCGTCCTCCTGCTGTCCCAGGCACGCACCGGATGGCGCTTCGTCAGTCCACTGCTCCGCAGCGTGTTGCTCTCCCGTCGCCTCCTGCGTCCTCTCTTCCTGCTCTTGCTGACCCGGAGTCAGACTCCCTTCGCGCTGCCAGTCCTACTGTCACACGTCTCTTGGCTACGGTTGTCACTGACCCTTCCTTTGAGTCCGCTGCTGCGTCTGCCCTAGTCACTGAGCTTGTCGACTTTGCAGCGGCGTGTCGTCTAGACTACGCAGCGAGTCTTGTTGCTGAGTCTGAGTCTGCCTGTCCTCCGTCCGTCGGGGGTGAGTGTGCTCTTGGCACGGACGTCCTTGAGGACAGGCAGGAGGAGTTTGGTTGCCTTGCCGCTGCTTTGCCCCATCTCGTGTCCATGCTTGTTGCCCCTGAGGGAGACCCGGATGCACCAGACATCCCGACCCCACGCTCTTACGCAGAGGCGATGGCCGGTCCCTACTCCTCTCAGTGGCAGTCAGCCATGGACACAGAGATGGCTTCCTGGAAGTCCACAGGCACCTACGTCGACGACGTTCCCCCACCTGGGGCGAACATCGTCAGTGGCATGTGGATTTTCAGGGTGAAGCGGCCGCCAGGCTCTCCGCCTGTCTTCAAGGCGCGTTACGTTGCACGAGGCTTCAGTCAGCGAGAGGGAGTTGACTTCTTCCAGACCTTCTCCCCGACCCCGAAGATGACCACTCTTCGGGTTCTGCTACACGTCGCCGCTCAGCGTGACTACGAGCTCCACTCTCTTGACTTCAGCACAGCTTTCTTGCAGGGCAGCCTGCACGAGGAGATCTGGCTGCGCCGCCCACCTGGCTTCACTGGGTCGTTCCCTCCTGGCACCCAGTGGAGCCTCCGGCGGCCAGTCTACGGTCTCCGCCAGGCGCCGCGTGAGTGGCACGACACACTGAGGACTACACTTGCGGCTCTTGGGTTTGCTCCTTCTACTGCTGACCCGTCGCTGTTTCTGCGCACCGACACCTCGCTGCCGCCGTTCTACATCCTCGTGTACGTCGACGACTTGGTCTTTGCCACTGCGGACACTGCCGCACTCGCCCACGTGAAGTCCGAGCTGCAGAAGAGACACACGTGCACAGACCTGGGTGAACTGACAAGCTATCTTGGCTTGCGGATCACCCGGGACAGAGCACGCCGCACCATTACCCTGACTCAGTCACACATGGTGCAGCAGGTCCTTCAGCGCTTCGGCTTCACGTACTCCTCGCCTCAGTCCACTCCTCTGCCTACGGGTCACTCGCTCTCAGCTCTGCCTTCGGATGAGTCCGTAGAGTCGAGTGGTCCGTATCCAGAGCTTGTGGGCTGCCTCATGTACCTGATGACCTGCACTCGACCTGACCTAGCATACCCTCTCAGCATCTTAGCACGCTATGTTGCTCCCGGCCGTCACCGGAAGGAGCACATGGATGCAGCTAAGAGGGTGTTGCGCTACTTGTGCAGTACGTCGGGCATGGGGCTAGTGCTTGGAGGGCGAGACCGGCCTGTTCTCACTGGGCACTCAGACGCTTCTTGGGCAGACGACCAGGCTACTCAGCGGTCGTCTCAGGGTTACACCTTCAGTCTTGGCTCTGGCTCTGTCTCTTGGCGTTCTACTCGTTCTTCTTCTGTTCTCAGCTCCAGCTGTGAGGCTGAGATCTACGCCACGGCCATGGCTGCCCAGGAGCTTCGCTGGCTCACCTACCTGCTGACTGACCTTGGAGAGCAGCCTCGTTCTCCTCCAGTGCTGTACGTCGACAACAAGGCAACCATTGCCTTGTGCCAGGAGCACAGACTGGAGCACAGGACGAAGCACATTGCTCTGCGTTACTTTCTAGCTCGAGAGCTACAGCAGCGTGGTCAGCTTCTTCTGCGTTACGTGGCCACTGAGGCCAACACTGCTAATGTGTTCACCAAGGCGCTTCCGCCTGTTGACCATCAGCGTTTTTGCACTCTTCTAGGCCTTGTGCCGACTGTTTCTCACTTACTTACTTCTTGACTTTACCTGTACTGTGATCATTATATATATACCTGCATGTTTGCCTTGTTAGGTTGTGATCATTGTACCTCTTGCTGTATTATAAAACTGCATGTGAACTGGTCTTGTGACCGCTTGCTTGTGCTCGGAATTTGTGTGGAATCCTCGAGATCCACCCTGAGCTTGTTTACCTTGTTTTGCCTTGACTGGTCTTGTGACCCCTAGGTCTCCCCCACTTTGCCTATGGGGGTGTGTCAAACATTTATATGTTTGTGTGGTTCTAGGCTGTAGTGGGTTACACCATAAGGGGTACACCAAATTAGGGTTTGACATATTTGTACTGTTGTTCCTGCTAGTCACTCCTCACTCAAATGGGTGAGTTCAACATTTAGGGCATTCATTTTAATTTATGGTGTTAAATCTTTTCGGGAAGTGATATACCCAATCCCACCGCAACAGTAAAATGAGGCAGGGAGAAGAAAAATTGTTCAGCTCGCAAAGTTTCGTTTCGTGCGGCTGCAGTTTTGTAGGCCCCCAATACTCGGGTCGCTCATCCGCGCCTTTTCCCCCAAAGGTTCCGCTTGCGCCTGGACCCCAGACTTGGAGTCAACGTTGGTTGACTCCGAGTTAACCACACCCAAACTAGAAACCCTAGCTGAGAATTTCGATCCCTCCATCCATCCCTCAGTGGATTCCCTGTGCTGCCGAACATCGCCCTGTACGAACCAGGCAAAAAACTTCGGTCAGACCCAAAATTTTTGAGAAACATGTCGAACGTGAGCCTAAAACGCGACGTGAACACCATGCTAGATTGTAACCCACGCCACATCCTCCCCCAAATTCTCCCCCATGGCGGAAAAACTCCGCCCTAGGGCCCAAGGAATCCAATTTGCACTCCCGTGAAAGGCCTCATCCACGGGGGATGTAAATTGGATTCCCTCATACACGCAATTTGTTTACGATTTTACCCACCACCCTAAAATAACGAGTAACTCCGTCACTGGAGACGTATTGCAAAAACGGAACATTTGATTGATCTCAATAAGGTTTCCTGGCGATTAAGACATTTAGGACCTTAAAATTGATTTATGGTGTTAAAAGAGATTTCGAAACGATATACACAAACAAATCGCAACAGTAAATCCAAGCAGGTAGAAGAAAAACTGTTCAGCACGTGAAGTTTCGTTTCGTGCGGCTGCAACTTCGTGAACCCAGATTTCCCGCATTGTCAGAATGTTATGTTTGTCTAGCCTGCAGTGGGGTACTCAATAGTGAGTACAGCCCAACTTAGGGTTTCCTATATGTACTCAACTGCTTGCTAGTGAAAACCCTCTCTTCTTCATTCCTCATTTCTTCACATGCTATCTGAGCGTCTACGCTCCTGGCCTGTGGTCCCACCTAACTGCTTCCGCTGCTACTCTGTGTTCGGCACGCCCCAAGGCGTGCCCCTCGCACTACTCTTAGCGGCCCCGTTGCCGCCCTTCCAGGCCCCTCGCGGCCCCTTCGCGGCCCCGTTGCCGCCCTTCCAGGCCCCTCGCGGCCCCTTCGCGGCCCCGTCGCCGCCCCTTTCGCGGCCCGTCGCCGCCCTTCCAGGCCCCTCGCGGCCCCTTCGCGGCCCCGTCGCCGCCCCTATCGGCCCCGTCGACGCCGGCAGCGGCCCCGTCGCCGACCCTAGTGGCCCCGTCGCCGCTCCTATCGGCCCCGTCGCCGCCGCCAGCGGCCCCGTCGCCGACCGTAGCGGCCCCGACGCCGCTCCTATCGGCCCCGTCGCCGCCGCCAGCGGCCTCGTCGTCGCCGCCAGCGACCCCGTCGCCGCCTCCAGCGGCCCCGTCGTCGCCAGTTGCGGCCCCGGCCCCGCCCCGGCCATGCCCCATCGCCAGACGCGGCGCACCTGGGGCACGTGCACCCCCCCCCCCCCCCCCCCCCCCCCTTTTCCCATTGCCTAACGAGGCGACCTGAGGCGGTCCCGTCGCCGCCCCTATCAGCCCCGTCGCCGCCGCCAGCGGCCCCGTCGTCGACCTCTCAGGCCCCTCGCGGCCCCTTCGCGGCCCCGTCGCCGCCCCTATCGGCCCCGTCGCCGCCGCCTGCGGCCCCGTCGCCGCCCCTAACGGCCCCGTCGCCGCCGCCAGCGGCCCCGTCGCCGACCCTAGCGGCCGCGTCGCCGCCAGCGGCCCCGTCGCCGACCCTAGCGGCCCCGTCGGCGCCATCGGCCCCGTCGCCGACCCTAGCGGCCCCGTCGCCGCCCCTATCGGCCCCGTCGCCGCCTCGAGCGGCCCCGTCGCCGCCACTTGCGGCCCTCTCGCTGCCCCTTTCGGCCCCTCCTCGACCCTGCCCCGGCCCGGCCCCGGCCATGCCCCGTCGCCAGCCGCGGTGCACCGGGGGCACGTGCACTGCCCCCCCCCCTTTTCCCGTCGCCTATTGAGGCGACCTGAGGCGGCCCCGTCGCCGCCCCTATCGGCCCCGTCGCCGCCGCCAGCGGCCCCGTCGCCGACCTCTCAAGCCCCTCGTGGCCCCTTCGCGGCCCCGTCGCCGCCCCTATCGGCCCCGTCGCCGCCCCTAACGGCCCCGTCGCCGCCCCTTTTGGCCCCGTCGCCGCCGCCAGCGGCCCCGTCGCCGATCCTAGCGGCCCCGTCGCCGCCAGCGGCCCCGTCGCCGACCGTAGCGGCCCCGTCGCCGCCCCTATCGGCCCCGTCGCCGCCTCCAGCGGCCCCGTCGCCGCCACTTGCGGCCCCGGCCCCGCCCCGGCCATGCCCTGTCGCCAGCCGCGGCGCACCGGGGGCACGTGCACGGCCCCCCCCCCCTTTTCCCGTCGCCTATCGAGGCGACCTGAGGCGGCCCGTCGCCGCCCCTATCGGCCCCGTCGCCGCCGCCAGCGGCCCCGTCGCCGACCTCTCAAGCCCCTTGTGGCCCCTTCGCGGCCTCGTCGCCGCCCCTATCGGCCCCGTCGCCGCCGCCTACGGCCCCGTCGCCGCCCCTAACGGCCCCGTCTCCGCCCCTTTTGGCCCCGTCGCCGCCGCCAGCGGCCCTGTCGCCGATCCTAGCGGCCCCGTCGCCGCTAGCGGCCCCGTCGCCGACCGTAGCGGCCCCGTCGCCGACCGTAGCGGCCCCGTTGCCGCCCCTATCGGCCCCGTCGCCGCCTCCAGCGGCCCCGTCGCCGCCACTTACGGCCCCGGCCCCGCCCCGGCCATGTCCCGTCGCCAGCCGCGGCGCACCGGGGGCACGTGCACCGCCCCCCCCCCCCCCCCCTCTTTTCCCGTCGCCTATCGAGGCGACCTGAGGCGGCCCTGTCGCCGCCCCTATTGGCCCCATCGCCGCCGCCAGCGGCCCTGTCGCCGACCTCTCAGGCCCCTCGCGGCCCCTTCGCGGCCTCGTCGCCGCCCCTATCGACCCCGTCGCCGCCGACTGCGGCCCCATCGCCGCCCCGAACGGCCGCGTCGCTGCCCCTTTCGGCCCCGTCGCCGCTGCCAGCGGCCCCGTCGCCGACCCTAGCGGCCCCGTCACCGACCCTAGCGGCCCCGTCGCCGCCCCTATCGGCCCCGTCGCCGCCTCCAGCGGCCCCGTCACCGCCACTTGCGGCCCCGTCGCCGCCCCTTTCGGCCCCTCCTCGACCCTGCCCCGGCCCCGCCCCGGCCATGCCCCGTTGCCAGCCGCAGCGCACCGGGGGCACGTGCACCCCCCCCCCCCCCCCCCCACCCTTTTCCCGTCGCCTATCGAGGCAACCTGAGGCGGCCCCGTCGCCGTCCCTATCAGCCCCGTCGCCGCCGCCAGCGGCCCCGTCGCCGACCTCTCAGGCCCCTCGCAGCCCCTTCACGGCCCCGTCGCCGCCCTTATCGGCCCCGGTGCCGCAGCCTACGGCCCCGTCGCCGCCCCTAACGGCCCCGTCGCCGCCCCTTTCGGCCCCGTCGCCGCCGCCAGCGGCCCAGTCGCCGACCCTAGCGGCCCCGTCGCCGCCAGCGGCCCCGTCGCCGACCCTAGCGGCCCCATCGCCGCCAGCGGCCCCGTCGCCGACCCTAGCGACCCCGACACCGCCCCTATCGGCCCCATCGCCGCCTCCAGCGGCCCCGTCTCCGCCACTTGCGGCCCTTGTGTCTCATAAATCAAATTCGCCGCAAAACAGTACTGGTGGCTTGCTCATCTCGGCTTCACAACACCGCAAAAGGCGATGGCGACGCGAAAGCTCCATGGTTTGCTCCTCCTCGCAACGTTGCTGCTCAGCGCTCTCGTCGCGACGTGCGAGGAATACTCTGCTTCCCTCGCGCTAAGTCAAATCGAGTTGGCTCTGGAGAGGAAAACGATGACGATGTCGCGAAAGTACATGAGGGAATGTGGTGAGTGAATGTGACTATCCTTTCGTGCTACCTTCTTGACTTCGTGAATGTGACGAAGTTCGTCAGAACTGATTTTCTGTTACCGTTTTCGTTGTCAATCCATCATATACAGGCTTCAATAACCCGCTTCTACGCAACCTGCCCAAAATGAGGATGACGCTACTCTTGCCCATCAACTCCGCGTGGATCAGGCTTCCGAACTACCAGGTCTTCAGCAACTCGACCAAAATGTGGCAGGTTCGTAAGAACATCTACCGTATATATGCCAAGTCACGCCTGCTATCCTGAATTCAAATTCAGAGGAATGGCACATCTTGTGTAGTGTGCATGCTGTTGATTCCACGCGGCCCGCCCAGTTGTTGACGGCTTTATTCACGGAAACGAGTCAGGTAAGATGGGAGAAGTTCCCCAAGCGGCTATTCATACCGTAGCTAGGTAAAAAGGAGTAACACCCTTTAAATTTCAGCTTACTACGGATACTTTCGCCTATTTTCGTTTTCCAGTCAGTTCTCTTTCTCCCTCCTTGGCCTAAATTACCGTACTCCCCTCGTCCCCCCCGGCTTCTCATCCGCACTGCGACACGGCAGATTCTGACGGGGCTTGGGTTCAAAATCATGTGTGTCTCGAGGAATCCCATCCACTTAACGAGACCTGGCACACTTAAAGGCACATTTGTGAGGGTGAACAACGTGTACACTGACCAGCACGTGGCCATCCATGGGGTCGACATCATCATGGTTCCTCCCTCCTACTAGCTGCGCTGCCGATTTAGTATAGCCTTTTTTCCCCTACCTGTAAGATATCTGTCCATAACGTGCTAGATGTGAAAGGCCTCTAGTTGCTTCAAGCACGCCTTTAGGTCCCAAAGCTTGGGACCCCACAGAACCTAGTGGATGGAAGATAATGGAAGAAGCAAGAAAAGGTCACCAATGGGTCAGTTTCTGAGCAGTTCCCAGGTCCCCCAAACATGAATCTGTTGCTGGACCTCAGCTTTCGTAGATGTGATTTGAACATGCGTTCAAGTCTCACAATGGGGAGAAAAGCAGTCAATTTAAAATCTTGGATCAAATCCAATTGCCCGAGAATCTGTGACGAACTGAACGTCGAAACAATGGATGGGTGGTTGTTTGTGGTAGTCGCCAAAACGTCTTCGAGCTTGTTGGGTGCTTTTCCCAGCCACAGCCACACCACCTACCTAACCAAACCGTCCCATTCCCACCGTCCCTCCACCGTCACGCCAACCGCCTCGAATGGTGCACGCCGGGCACATGCGGAGATGCACGTGCGGACACACGTGGGGCAGGGGATGAGGGCACAATTGCAGGAGGGGCAGAGGGAGGAGCGGACAGTGGAAAGGATGGAGGAGGGGAGAGAGGAACGGAGCATGGGCAGTGGAATGGACAGAAGAGAAGGGGGTGGAAGGGGGCAAGACACAGAATGAATGGTGCAGAGCATACGACAGCGAGAGTACGAGAAGGGGGATGGGAAGGGAGGAGCGGGGAGGGAATGGGGTGAGGAGAAAGATGTCAAAGACGTAGGCAGGGGAGGAAAAGGGAGAGCAGGAAAGGCGCACAGCAGGTGGGTGCAGGAGTGGGATGGGTAACTGTTACAAGATGGAATTCGCCATGCTTGCATGCATGGGAATACCCGAACGGTTGGAACTCCCCTTGCCTAGATAGCTCCGAATAGAGAAAGGTTCTAGCCTCGGAGCGTATCTCTTGTCCTCGTCACTGATTAGAAGGTACTAGAATCCAACAAGGTATGGCATCGAGGCTCTATGCCAAGATGACATGCTAGAAGCGTGGCAACGCGGCTTTCCTTCCAAGTCGCCATCCCTTCTTCCTTGCATAAATACCTTCTCTGAATCTTGTAATCTTATCATCTCATCCTTAATTCATTCTAATTTTATCATCTTGGAATCTATTCTCCTATCTTCTCTCGTCGACGTCTCTTGGAACTAGGCTTCTCTCTCGGCCTAGCTTCCGCTATTCCGCTGCGTGACTACTCTTCTTTCTTCTCTTCTAGCTACGGCGCCTCCGTCGCTATGGCGGGCTAGGCCAGTCGCGCTGTACGAAGGGGCTGCGCCGTAGCCTTGTTTCAGTGATGGGGAAGCAGCTGCGGAGGTAGAACCCAACCCAGTCAAAGGTGATGCAATTACTCTGCTCCATGCACCGCAGCACGACCCGCCATGCCCCATTTGCCATGTCCCACCAGTCAGGGTCGCACCTGCCCCACCATGCCTCACCATGCCCCACCATGCCTCACCTTCCTCGGGGTGGTGGGGCGGTTGGAGGAGAGGCGTGAACAGGGGATTCGGCACATGCGACCAAGGCACCAAAGGGCACCCCTCGCACCCCTCGCCACACTGCCTCCCTTGTGTGTCTCACCTGCATGTCTCCCCTGTTGAACTGGTGCTTCATATTAATATGGAACTGTGCTTTCGAGTGCAACGTGGGTGCACAATTCTAGTCGTCGTTTCTTAAGCAAGCGCCACTAGCAGTGGCTTGATAATCCAACGATCATAGCCCAAGCACAGAAGAAGCACTGCTGGATGGCTACATGACAAGGCACGGTCAGCACAAGATTGCCTTGCAGCGCACAGCACATAGACTGCACTGTATTGCAGGCAAGTGCACTGTATTGCAGGCAAGTGCACTGTATTGCAGGCAAGTGCACTGTATTGCAGGCAAGTGCACTGTATTGCAGGCAAGTGCACTAGTTTGCAGGCAAGTGCACTGTATTGCAGGCAAGTGGACTGCATTGCAGGCAAGTGCACTGCATTGCAGGAAAGTGCACTGCATTGCAGGCAAGTGCACTATATTGCAGGCAAGTGCACTGTATTGCTGCAGGCAAGTGCACTGTATTGCAAGCAAGTGCACTGTATTGCAGGCAAGTGCACTGTATGGCAGGCAAGTGCACAGTATTGCAGGCAAGTGCACTGTATGGCAGGCAAGTGCACACTATTGCAGGCAAGTGCACTGTATTGCAGGCAAGTGCACTATATTGCAAGCAAGTGCACTGTATTGCAGGCAAGTGCAATGTATTGCAGGCAAGTGCACTGTATTGTAGGCAAGTGCACTACATTGCAGGCAAGTGCATTGTATTGCAGGCAAGTGCACTATATTGCAGGCAAGTGCACTGTATTGCAGGCAAGTGCACTGCATTGCACGCAAGTGCACTGTATCGTAGGCAAGTGCACTGTATTGCAGGCAAGTGCACTGTATTGCTGTAGGCAAGTGCACTGCATTGCAGGCAAGTGCACTTCATTGCAGGCAAGTGCATTGCATTGCAGGCAAGTGCACTGTATTGCATGCAAGTGCACTGTATTGCACGCAAGTGCACTTTATTGCAGGCAAGTGCACTGTATTGTACGCACGTGCACTGTATTGCAGGCAAGTGCACTGTATTGCAGGCAAGTGCACTGTATTGCAAGCAAGTGCACTGTTTTGCAGGCAAGTGCACTGTATTGCAAGCAAGTGCACTGTATTGCAGGCAAGTGCACTGTATTGCAGGCAAGTGCACTGTATTGCAGGCAAGTGCACTGTATTGCAGGCAAGTGCACTGTATTGCAGGCAAGTGCACTGTATTGGAGGCAAGTGCACTGTATTGCGAGCAAGTGCACTGTATTGCAGGCAAGTGCACTGTATTGCAGGCAAGTGCACTGTATTGCAGGCAAGTGCACTGTATTGCAGGCAAGTGGACTGCATTGCAGGCAAGTGCACTCATTGCAGGAAAGTGCACTGCATTGCAGGCAAGTGCACTATATTGCAGGCAAGTGCACTGTATTGCTGCAGGCAAGTGCAGTGTATTGCAAGCAAGTGCACTGTATTGCAGGCAAGTGCACTGTATGGCAGGCAAGTGCACTGTATTGCAGGCAAGTGCACTGTATGGCAGGCAAGTGCACACTATTGCAGGCAAGTGCACTGTATTGCAGGCAAGTGCACTATATTGCAAGCAAGTGCACTGTATTGCAGGCAAGTGCAATGTATTGCAGGCAAGTGCACTGTATTGTAGGCAAGTGCACTACATTGCAGGCAAGTGCATTGTATTGCAGGCAAGTGCACTATATTGCAGGCAAGTGCACTGTATTGCAGGCAAGTGCACTGCATTGCACGCAAGTGCACTGTATCGTAGGCAAGTGCACTGTATTGCAGGCAAGTGCACTGTATTGCTGTAGGCAAGTGCACTGCATTGCAGGCAAGTGCACTTCATTGCAGGCAAGTGCATTGCATTGCAGGCAAGTGCACTGTATTGCATGCAAGTGTACTGTATTGCACGCAAGTGCACTTTATTGCAGGCAAGTGCACAGTATTGTACGCACGTGCACTGTATTGCAGGCAAGTGCACTGTATTGCAGGCAAGTGCACTGTATTGCAAGCAAGTGCACTGTTTTGCAGGCAAGTGCACTGTATTGCAGGCAAGTGCACTGTATTGTAGGCAAGTGCACTGTATTGGAGGCAAGTGCACTGTATTGCAGGCAAGTGCACTATATTGCTACAGGCAAGTGCACTGCATTGCAGGCAAGTGCACTACATTGCAGGCAAGTGCACTGTATTGCAGGCAAGTGCACTGTATTGCTGCAGGCAAGTGCACTGTATTGCAGGCAAGTGCACTGTATTGCAGGCAAGTGCACTGCATTGCAGGCAAGTGCACTGCATTGCAGGCAAGTGCACTGCATTGCAGGCAAGTGCACTGTATTGCATGCAAGTGCACTGCATTGCAGGCAAGTGCACTGTATTGCTGCAGGCAAGTGCACTGTATTGCAGGC